TTTCGGTTTTTCGTATTTTTTGGCCCACTGAGGCCCTTTAGTGTGTGTGCTCGCAGGAATCAATGCAAAATCGGCTGAAAACGGCCTACCCGAGGGGGACCGCCGCCGCGGGCGACAACACCGTCGCCGAAGCACGGCGGAGCTGCAGTGCTGGATTTCCGAAATTGGCCAAATGGACCCTGAGATTAATTTTGGGTTTATTTGGAACATTTATAAGTACTATAGGCGCGTTTTAGTTTCTGAAGAAAAATTCAGGGAACTCAAGTACCGCCCGTATGCGCAGTAAACCGTTTAACTTTTTGACGTCAGATCAAGTAAGGATCGCTCACCTTATTCCCTATAATAGAATTGAAGTTTAAATAAATAATAATACGGTATTGCGTACAAATTAAAGAGATGTGTATAATTAATTACGAATTGCTAATGGAACCCGAACCGGACATTATTCTCTATTGATTTATTTTACAATTTAAAAGTATGATACTATCTGATTTATCTATTTTATGGTTTAAATGCATGTATTACTTACTTACTTGACTTCTGTTTGATTTGGGATTTGAAACATGATTGTATTACTGGATGCATGTTTATTTATTTATGTAGTTATGTTTGATTTGGTAATGGAGACTAAAGGAAAACAGGAAAAGAGTGTGATCAAATAAACAGATAGAATGACAGCCTTACTAAATATCCAAGGAGATAGTGGATGGATCGGATACATAGGGAACTCCACCGTGAACGTTGTCTCATATCAGAGTATGGAGACTTGGTAATTTGGGGCTCATACCGGACGAAGTATGGAAACGGTCATATAATTGAGATTGTTAAGGGAAAGAGTTCACATGTAGCAAGAACACCCCTATGAACCCCCATGAATACTAGTAGGCTGGTGAAATAAGAAACAGTTATGATTTGCCTTATTGTTAATGGATATAAATTTATAATATGTTCTTTGTTGCTGATTATTCATAAAGTTATAATCTATATGGTATTATTGTCTCTATAGGTTGTTTTCATAAATTCCACTACGGTAAGTGAACGGTAAATAATTTTATGATTGATAAACGAATTTACTAAATTTAGTGCTCTATTAGTTGTTTTGATTTTATACCAACATTTACTTCTGTGCCGGTAATATAGTGTGATATCCTTACTGGACTAGTGTACCTCATCCTTTATTTAACCATTTCAGATCAAGAGAAACTGGTTCCAGAACCCGATCCGAGATTGCGAGTAAATGCTAGATACTTTCTATTTTCTATTATTTTTCTTATTTCTCGTGTTTCTTTCAGAGAATTCATTCCGTAATATTGTTTAGTACTTTTAAGTTATTGTGTAAGGGATGTAAATATTAACTTTTTATTTCGCTTTCGCATTTAAATTATTATATATTTCCTTTTAGATTTCCGGAATCGTTACATCCTTTACTAAGGATTCGGCAACAAATAAATCCAGAAAGGATCTTGGCAATTAAGGTTATGGACAGGGAATTCAGAGTACAATGAAAGAGCTAGCAATTAAGGTCAACATCAATTGTGTCGAAGTGAACACCACGAAAAAACAATCAGAGCATAGAAGATAATGCACCAAGGTTGGCTTTGGTGTGCATGAGTATGAAAAAGAGCAAGCGTGCACTAAGGCAAACAATTGCTAAAGTAGCTTTCGATGAGAGACACATGATCAAAAGAACACGTTAAAAACACAAACAAACCTAAGGTAAGGAAAACGAGGCTGGAAACTCTATTGGTTTTTTTTCCTTAATAATAAAGAAAAGCATAAACAACAACAAAGAACAACCAGAAGAGAATCTAAGATTCTAAATATATGAGGAATTTAGAGAAAAATTAATTTTTTTGTACATTAAAAAGCATATGCATGGATTTACATAAGTTTTGCAAATAGAAAAAATAAGAAACATTTTTAGATAGAAAAAGAAAACTTAGAATACTAATTAATGTAATCAAATCAAATATCTATATCGGTGAGATTCTCTAAGCGGTATCCCATATATTAAAAAGATTAATTTTTAAAATTTTAAGATAGAAGATTTAGGGGCTTTTCCAACAAAAATATATCAAATCAACTGTAGTAAACATATAGAACCTATTTTTCCATTTCACTAAAAAGATTAGGAAAGTCTAAATGAGAAATCGAACATTTATTTCATAAAGAGTAAGAGACAAAAAGGTACAATCCTATGGTACTTATAATTAACCGTTACGTTTTCCATAATGACTAAACAATTAGGAAAATCTAATAGAGAACCGAAACATTATATTTCATAAAGAGTAAAGGGATAATACAAGGCTAGTTGGGGAGAAACGAGTGTTTAAGTCTTTTGTTGCATAAAACCGATCCAGCAGCTTTTTTATATGGTCATGCATTGTTGCATCTGTACCAATGCCCGCCTACAAACAGAATATAATGAAATAATCAGTAGCAGCAACTGAGTTGATAGAAGAAAGGGGTTGAAGAAATTGAAAACCAAGGTATGATTATGCTGCATAAACTCAATATTCTAATTTTCTCACCTTGTCCATACAGCTAAGCAAATCAGCTTCACTCAAAAGTGGTGGAGGCTTTGTGACTCCTGAATCAAGTGTCAATGTTGTCGGAATGAACTGTAATATAAACAAGAGCTTTATACTTTTAAAAAAAACACAGTAATTTTCTCTTATCTTTAAAATTGATTGTCAAATAGAAAACCTTATACTTAACCCTATTGTTCACGAAAAAATATTAACTATAAATTAGAGGGTCTATTATGTTTTCCTTTTGTTTTCTTTTCTATTTATAAGGCATGAAAATAGTAAGACTTGTACAGTATACCTGCAAAAAATTCAATATTACAATTCACTCAAGCTTTCATAAGGTACAGATAGTATTATGATCTGATCAATTTCGAACACCGTTATAACTTTATGTGGATAAAAAAGACTAGATCATTGTGTTAATAGTCTTCTGATCACTTAAACTCATATGATAAATGACTTTGTGAATCATAGAAAGGAATTATGGAACAACAAGTGACTCTTCCCTAATCCAAATGCGAAGGAGGAAAATCTTCCAAAAAATTAAGAAAAAAAAGGCCACAAACCGCAATGACTTCACTCTTATTATAGAATTCAGACTAATTAACTTTAAAAAGTTGAAAAAGGAATCTCATATACAAGTACGAGGGGGATGATGACTACATACAAATATTACCTTGAAGAATACCAACTAGAAGATCTAGATCATCCTCTAAGTGCTCCCTAAATGCAAATGGTGACTCTTGGACATTGTTGAACATCTGACATTTTAGCTCTAACAGTGAAGACTTTTTCAAAATTCAGCATATAAAATCATTTTGAATATTAATTATAAAAGATAAATTACTTCAAACTAGTTTTAAATTTAGTCAAATAAATATCATCAGATAATGATCTTCCAAAATATTTGTTATTATCTTTAAATTTTTGAATTGTAACAACTTAGGAATTTGGTATTAAAAAGTAGGAGATTAGTTTATCCTTTTTTTTATATAAATAAGTATTCTAAACTGAAATAATAGAACAATCTTTCTTTCCAAAAATTTTTTCTCAAGTTACTATTAACCTTTATTGTTTTTTAAAACCAATAAGTGGTATTAAAGACATAATTGGTCTTAAACCTAATATGTCAGTGAGCAACAGCCTTCCCTTGGCAGTCCTAAACACCTTTAATGGTGAAAACTACCAAATTTGGTGAGTAAAAATGCAAACCTATTTAGAAGCCTTTGATCTTTGGGAGTTAGTAGTAGAAGACAGACCTATACTTGCACTCCCGAGTGATCCTACTTTGGCACAAATCAAAACTCATTCCGAAGAAAAGGCCAAAATAGCCAAAGCCAAAACTGTTCTTCAAAATTCAGTGGGAGACTCAGTTTTTCCGAGAATCATGGCATACAAGACTGCTAAAGAGGCTTGGGATAAATTAAAAGTCAAGTATCAAGGAAGTGATAGAACCAGACAAATGCAGATTTTGAATTTGAAAAGGGATTTTGAAACTTTAAGCATGAAAGAAGATGAGTCCATCAGCAAATACTCAGATAGAATTTCCTTAATTGTCAACCAAATTCGCTTGCTTGGCGAGGATTTTTCAGATAGAAGAATTGTAGAAAAAGTTCTTGTAATACTTCCTGAGAGGTTTGAATCCAAAATTTTCTCTCTAAAAAAGTCCAAGGATCTTAATAATATTTCAATGACTGAATTGATGAGTATTCTTCAAGCACAAGAACAAAGAAGGATTCTGCAGCAAGATAAGATTACCGAATAAGCCTTTTATGTTCAAAACCAACAGTAGATAAACAAAAGCAAGCGACAACTTCCCAAGAAGTCATAAGAGAAGAATGAAGGTTGTGATGGCAAGAAAAAATTTGTACCCTGCAAGCATTGCAAAAAGACCACTCATATTAAGAAATATTGTTGGTGGAGGCCAGATACAATATGTGCTATTTACAGACAACTCGGACATGTCACTAAGGTGTGCAAAAGCAAGAATAAAAACTTTCAGTGGTCAACGAGCTCAAGCAATAGAAACAGAAACTCAGAAAGAGAAACTTTTTGCTGCCTCATACTTTCGAAGCATAAATACTAACAACAGTTGGCTCATTGACAGTGGATTGACGAACCATATGATATTTGATGTAGCAATCTTCAAAAATCTTGATAAAAGCTTCAGAACCACTATGAGAATTTGCAATGGAGATCTTCTTAAAGTCAAAGGGAAAGGTACAGCAAAAGTAAGAACATCTGCAGGTATCAAACTTATTAATGATGTTTTATATGTTCCTGAACTCAATCCAAATTTGTTGAGTGTTGAGAAAATGTTGGAGAGGGGATATTTTCTTGAATTTAAAAACAAAAACTACATTGTCTTTTATAACGATGGGCTGAATTATTTTCGATAAAAATGAAAGAAAAAAACTTTGTTGTGAATTGGAATATGGATAAAGCTTATGCAGGTGTAGATATGAATGATTCAAGTTTATGGCATAAAAGATTTGGGCACTTCAACCATTGGAGTTTAACCAAACTCATAAAGCATAATCTTGTTCATAATATACCAAAAATTATAGTTGAATCTCATGACTTGTCAATTGGGAAAAAAAGCAAAGCTACCACTTCCAAATGGTGAAACTTGAAAGGCATTCCAGAAGTTGCAGCTCATACACACATATGTATGCGGACCCATGTCAGTTTCATCAATGAATGGTAATCGATACTTTTTTTTAGTCATTGATGATTATTGTAGAATGTGTTGGGTCTATTTTCTTAAAATTATAAGTGAAGTTTTTGCTATATTTCAACAATTCAAAAATTATATTGAAAATCAAAACAATTTGAAGATTAAAATGATACAGTCTGACAATGGCATTGAGCACAACTCAAGCCAATTTGATAAGTTTCAGAGATGAAGGGATTGAACACTAATTCACAGTAACTTACACACCTCAACAAAATGGTGTAAGCGAGAGGAAGAACCGGACAATGATGGAGATGGCTAGGTGCCTAATTTTTTAGAAAAATTTACCCAAATATTTTTTGGGCTGAAGCTGTAAACACTTCGGTGTATCTCTTAAATAGGCTACCGACCAAAACTCTCAAGAACAAGACTCCATAGGAAGCTTGGCATGGTATGAAGCCGTCGGTGCATCATCTCAAAATATTTGGCAGCATTTATTTTTATTAAATTCCACAATAGAAAAGGGACAAGCTCGATAAAAAAGCTGAAAATGACATTTTTGTTGGTTATAGTCTTGTCACAAAAAGATACAGAATTTATTGTTTGAAAACTAACTTGTGAGCAGAGATGTTAAATTTAATGAAATGGCAGCTTGGAATTAGGAGAAACTTGAAAATATTCAAATGAAATTCCAAATGATATACCAAACCATTCACAAGCTGTTGAAAATGATGAAACTTTTGATGATGTACCTATCAGAGGTACAAGATCCTTGTCACAAATATACCAGATGTGCAATTTTGTTGTCTCAAAGCCTAGCAATTTTCACGAGGAAAAAACTTCACCAACATAGAGAAAAACAATGCAGGAGGAGATTGATATAATCAATAAAAATGAGACATGACAGCTTGTTTAAAGACCAGAAGAGCAGAAAGTGATTGGGGTCAAATGGGTTTTTAAAACCAAACTCAATCCTGATGGCTCAATATGCAAACACAAGGCAAGGCTTGTGGTCAAGGGATATTCGCAACAATATGGTGTCGATTACCAAGAAAAATTGGTTCCAGTTGCAAGGTACAACACTATCAGATTAATTATTACCTTTGCTGCATTCAAAAAATTGACAGATTCATCAACTCGATGTTAACTCTGCATTTCTAAATGGCTTTATTGATGAAAATATCTATGTTGAGCAGTTTAATAATTTTGTAATTTATGAAAAAGAAGATCATGTATATTTATTGAAAAAAGCTCTTTATAGCCTTAAACAAGTTCCAAAAGCTTGGTACAGCAGAGATAGTCATTTAATGCAGCTTGGGTTCAAAAGAAGTAATAGTGAAGCAACATTATACATCAAATGAGCAAATGAAAAAATTTTGGTTCTCTCTATATGTAGATGACATGCTTGTGACAAGGGAAGATCCTCAACTCATCCAATTTTTCAAAACTCAAATGAATGAAGCTTTCGAAATGACGGATCTTGAACTGATTAAGTATTTTTTGGGCATGAAGGTGGAGTAATCCAAAAATGAAATTTTCAAATGTCAAAAAAATTATGCAGCAAAGATCTTAAAAAAATTTCACATGGCAAATTGTAAACCTGTGGGTGTTTCAATATTTACATGTGAGAAATTGAGTAAAAATGTCGATGGAAAGAAAGTTGATGAAGGCTTGTATAGAAGTCTTATTGGAAGTCTTTTATATCTCACAGCAATCAGGCCCAATATCATGTTTACTATGAGTATTTTATCAAGATATATGCATTCTCCATCTGAAAAACATTATTTAGCAACAAAACGTATACTCAAGTATTTAAAAAGTACCATAAACTTTGGTATTATGTATAGAAGTGCTGAAAATGAAGTGAAGCTGCTGGGATATTCTGACAGCGATTGGGAAAGTTGCTTGAATGATTTCAAAAGCACTTCAGGGAATCTTTTCTCTTTGGGTTTTGGTATCTTTACATGGAGCTCAAAGAAGCAAGAAACAACAGCTCAATCAATAGCTGAAGCTACTGAAACTAAATATATTGTTGCTGCCTCGGCTGTGAATCAAGCCATCTGGTTAAGGAAACTCTTAATGGATCTTTGTTGTCAACAAAAAGGTCCAACAGAAATCAAATGTGATAATCTTTTTGCAGTATCAATTTGAAAGAACCCGGTATTTCATGGGAGTACAAAACATATCAAGATCAAATTCTACTTTATTCGAGAAGTTCAACAATCTAATGAAGTGGTTTTGGTTCATTGTTCTTCTGAAGATCAACTTGCTGATATGTAACAAAAGCTTTACCTAAGGAGAAGTTTGAAATTCTTAGAGAAAGGATTGGCGTTTGTCACAAAAATGCCAAGGAGAAGTGTTGAACATCTGGCATTTTAGTTCCAGTAATGAAGACTTTTTCAAAATTCAGCAGATAAAATCATTTTGAATATTAGTTACAAGAGATAAATTATTTCAAATTAGTTTTATATTTATTCAAATAAAAATTATCAGATAATAATTTTTCAAAATCTTAATTATTATCTTTAAATTTTTTAATTATAACAACTTAGGAATTTGGTACTAAAAAATAGGAGATTAGTTTATCCTTTTTTTATATAAATGAGTATTCTGAAATGAATATAATAAAACAATTTTTCTTCCCAAAATTTTCTTCTTGGATTACTGTCAACCTTTCTTGCTTTTTAAAACCAACAGACATAATACTCCTTCTAGAACTAAAAATCTCTAATCTAGTATAAACGAGCACAAACTCTCTTAGACATCAAACTATGTGTGTGTTTGCACATAAATGGAAAATAAATTGATCAGTAGCAAACCTGTTGTCCTCTTTCATACTTTGGGATCATTGAACCTCCCCATGATTCAAAGCGATAGACATCTAGGTAATTTTTCTAGTCATTCAAAACAAAACAAGTCAAATATCAACATAATCACAGTTTAAAAAAGAATGAGATAAAAATTCTTTTAGACAAAACAAGACATTTATGTTTATCACCAAAATGTATACTGGCACTGATCTCCCAGAAATATGAGAAGGAAATAGATAGGACGTTGTACAACTATGGATTTCTGAGTAAATGAACGTGAATTCAAAGAAGGCAAATAACAGGCTCAAAGGGATGTTGCTTAATCAGCTTCCAACACAGACATGTACCAACTTCCATAGCCAATTAATCTCTGTATCAAGAAAACTCACGCCAGATAAAAAATGCGTTGGTTACCAACATATATAATCAATAAGAGATCTTTACCAGTATTTTATTATTATGGTTCCCTTTTAGGTCTGTGCAGGTAAAGAGCAAGTAGAGTTCCATTCTTGAAAAAACAACGAAATTTCAGTAACTTTGTTATTCTTTGTTGGCCATCTTTATAACACTCTCTACCCTTTCCCCAATAATTCATGAAAATATAGATAAAAGAATGCACAACCAATTAACCAACTGCAACTCTTAATTTTTCTTCATCAAAGTTAATCGTGTATCACAACTTCGTATCAAGAATAAAAGAGATTAATAAAAATGATCAAGTTAATTGTCTGAAGGAAAAACTTCTGGGTTATCATTACTGCTAGCTCCAGACTGAAAATTGCCTGTGTTTAATCTGTTAGAAATACATTTGAAAAACATAACCACCCAGAGTTCTTAAGCTTGTGTCAGCTCCAGTTGCTCAAAACATATATCAAAAATCCCAGCATCGAACGATGAGAATAAAATCTATTTCCTATTCAGATTCCATGACATTAGTGCAACAAATAACCAACCAAATTGGAAAAGAAAATTTTGTGAACTTACAGCTAATATCACTCTCCCAGACGCAGAAAACCATTCACCAGCAATATTAATTTCAACAGTCGTTTCAGCCCCAACTGCTGGCTGAGAAACACATGCTAGGAAATGGCGAACAACCAGCTCATACACATTCTGGGAAGAAAAGGAAGTAATTAAATCACCAGGAAAAATGGTAAACATAATCCTTCACCAGGACCAGATAACAATTTGAAGAGCCTCTGGTCACAAGCAAAATTTCATTAGAGTTTTGAAGGTAATACTTACATGGTGTTCCCTACTCCATCGAGATTCGCCGCTAGAGAATTTTGTTGGGTGAATGGGTGGATGGGCCTTGTCATCATGACCACCACTTCCAGGATTTCTCCAAAGTTCTTCCCCCGGGTCCAACAAACGTTGTGCATATGGTCCCCACACAGGATGAGCTGTTTGGTCCTCCACCATGGCCTAAATTAAACAAAACATTAATGACCAACAATTTAAATAAAATTACCCATAACAGATAAACATAATAAATTTTTTTCTTAATTATTACAGAGTAAGTTATTAACACCTTTTCAGTAGTGACTGTGTAGATGTGATAATTGGTGAACAATATAAAATTTCAGGTCAGGGTCCAAAGAAAGAACCTTCAAACACAAAGGATAAAGGAAAATCTGGAACATAAATCAAAAAAATTAGCAACAATAGCACCCCAATACATTCTTGGAACTTTCCAAAAAATGATGAAAGACATTTGTTGCCTTCAAAAAATTGTGTACGAGGTGCAACCATGCACAAACAAGTCTGAGATTATGTATCTGAATAAGGCATATGACAGCAAAGACAGAAATCAAAGGATAAAAATGATCATGTTAATAACAACAATATGTTAGCAGGATACTTTTAACATCCATTTCCTTAAAAAAAGGATATTCTTAACATTCCTATTACAAAAGGCAATCAAGAGGCGGTGGAAGAATATTCATTAAAGAAATTTAAAATCAATTTCCATCTCAAAGCAAAAGT